GTCGCCGTCTCCGTCTCCGTCTCCGTCTCTGTCTCGATTTCGATCTCTGTCTCCGTCTCCGTCTCCGTCTCCGTCTCCGTCTCCGTCTCCGTCTCTGTCTCCGTCTCCGTCTCCGTCTCCGTCTCCGTCTCCGTCTCGTTGTCATCTACATCTCTGCTCATTGTCGTCTCCATGTCCATCCATCTCCATCTCCATCTCCAGCTCTACTGATTGCTGTGTTCGACTGGATCCAGCTGCATCTACCCCAACCTTGCCCTCTGTTTATGTTCATCTCTGTCTCAAGGTGTGCAGGCGTGCTCCTCCTGGTCCCTGTGCCTTCTCCATATGTCTGTGTCCGTCTTCACGCCTGTTCTGGTCTCTGTCCCTTTCCCATCCATCTCTCTATCCGTTCGTCTTCCAGTATCTTTATCAGCATTATATCCCTGTTGCTGTTAACTTTGATTGACATGTAATGCCGGACATTAAGAATTTGATCAATTTGATTGTGTGCTTCCCTCCTTTTCAATTGATCAGTTTGCACTCAGTTTGCATGCACTCAGTTTGCACGCACTCAGTTTGCACTCAGTTTGCACGTGTGTTTTTGCATTGTCCAAGCAACCTTGTTAAATGCCAAGGGTCCAAACTGCAAGGCCAACATGACGAGAAGGTGTGAGGGCACCATAACTGTGCAGCTTTTCTGTTTCTTCTCCTCTCCTTGTCGATTGATCGGCATGGGTGCTTTGTTTGCTGTAGATTTTCTCTGTCCAATCGAATTTCGATACAAGGTCCAAAGGGGTTTTGCACATGACAATTCCAGCGACATTATGCCTGTTTTTTTTTTTTTTTTTTTTTTTTTGATGTTGACCAGAACAGAGTCAACAGACACTACACTTAATCTTGGCCAAAAGGCCGAGAAGGTATTGTGCCTGTGTTTTTTTGAGTTGGTAATGGTTTTGTCATTTGTGTTCTCATCTGCCGTTTGTGTGCTACTTTTTGTGTGTCGTCTGTGTGCCATTTTCTCATCATTTGTGTGCTCATCTGCCGCTTGTGTGCTACTTTTTGTGTGTCATCTGTGTGCCGTTTGYGAGTCATTTGTATRTCGCGTGACATGTGTGTCATTGATGTGTCTTTTGTGTGTCATTTGCGTGTCGTTTGTGTGTCATTGGTGTGTCATTTGCCGCTTGTGTGCTACTTTTTGTGTGTCATCTGTGTGCCGTTTGTGAGTCATTTGTATGTCGCGTGACATGTGTGTCATTGATGTGTCTTTTGTGTGTCATTTGCGTGTTGTTTGTTTGTCATTGGTGTGTCATTTGTGTGCTGCATGTCCTTTCGCTGTCATTTGCATGTTGTTTGTGTGCAATTTGTGTCATTGATGTCTTTTGTGTGCAATTTGTGTGTCATTTGTGTGTCATTGTGTGTTATTTGTGTGTCATTTGTGTGTCCTTTGTGTGTCCTTGTGTGCCATTGATGTCTTTTGTGTGCAATTTGTGTGTCGTTTGTGTGTCATTTGTGTGTCGTTTGTGTGTCGTTTGTGTGTCATTGATGTCTTTTGTGTGCAATTCATGTCATTTGTGTGTCAGTTGTGTCATTGACGTGTCTTTTGTGTCCCGTTTATTTGTGATTTGTGCACCATTTGTGAGTCGTTGATCTGTCTTTTGAGTGTGATTTTTGCCATTTGTGTGCTGACAAGTGTGAGTTGTGTCATTTGTGTGCTGATGACATTTGTGCGTGCGTCACATGTATTTCATTTGTGTGTCGTTTGTTTGCTGATGTGCCAGTTGTGCAGCATTTGTGTGCTCATTTGTCATTTGTCTTTCTATTTTCTCTTTTGTTGTCTCCCACAGTTTAACATTGTTGAAGTATTGCACCCTGTCAAGTCAAGGGAGTACGCGCGGTTCCTCTTAACGGAGACCTCGGCGGCCGCACAGGAGGCGTGTGAGTCGCTTGTCATCAAAGCGCTGACCTTCGACCACAGGTTTGTGCGCTGCACACAATCTTCACTGCACCAAAGTTTCTGGATGTATCTGACCTCAATTACGGCCCTTCCTGGATGTATCTGACCTCAATTATGACCCTTCCTGGATGTATCTGCGCTCAATTACGTCACTGCCTGGATGTCTCTGACTGCTGCGATTATGCCCAAAGCTCAGGCGAGAGAAAATAATTATGTGGTGTGAATCTGTGCCCGAAACAATTCGATCGGGAAACTACTGTCTTCACCCGAATAGAATGCCCGGTCATTATCGCTGCATCTGGACTGAAAAATGCCCCGAATATAGCTATAATTACCGGGCGTTATATTCGGGTGAAGACGGTAGGAATAGTACGAAAAACGAGAGGAAAATTTTCCCGGCCATTTTTTACAGGTACATAATTTCATTAAAACACGAATACATCGAAATAGAGTCAAGATCTCCACCGCTACCTTCTTCTCCCGAATACAACGTACGGTCAGTATAGCTGTATTTGGGGTATCTTTCAGTCTAAATACAGCTATAATGACCGTATACGTTGTATGCGGGGGACAAAGGTAGGCTTGAGGAGTCGAGCGTAGACGGTCGTCGCAAGTGCTCTCCGAACCGTGCGAGATGATTGCCCATCACACGGCTCTCCAACTCAAATTGCCTTATTATTATTACTCCTTTGACCGGGTAAGTTGGGACCAAGGCGAAGCGATTTGGACAAACAAAAATTCAATTGGACAATCATCAAACCAAATTGGTCAGTTCGATTTTCCTATTTACTACATGATCGGAACCGATTTGGACAGCCGATATAGGTTGGGATAAGTGATGAGCATTTTGGACATATCAGATTTAGGTTGGGAGAAACGATGAGCACTTTGGACATACTGGATATAGGTTGGGATACATGATGACCATTTTGGACAGAATGATTTAACAGTTTGGATGCATGACAGAGTTAGGCAGATTGATTTAACAAATTAGTATTGCCAATACCACATTTAGTTCAACAGTCGACCGATTTGAGATTCTGCGCACACCATCAGGACCAACAAAGATATCAATTTAGTGGAATCGATTTTGCATGTTAGTCACATGCGTCTGAATCACGGGCCTGCTACTCCCGTAAACTGTCGACCTAGAACTTCGCCTCGATTAGCTTTGCCGAAGTTTCGTGTCACCTCTCTAATCCATCCTTGGCACATCCACCTAGGCGAGGCAGGTACAACCGCATTGACGATGTTCAGAGGCGAAAGATCATCGAGAGTGCATGCACGTGGGTTCTATTGTGCAATCATCGAATCCAAGGGCCTTGTGCAATCAGATCATTGAACCCACGGGCACGTGAACGCACAAGGCACGTGAACGGCATCTCAGGCACGTGAAAGGCATCTCAGGCACGTGAACGACATCTCAGGCACGTGAACGGCATCTCAGGCACGTGAACGCACAAGGCATGTGAACGCACAAGGCTCGTGGGTCGATGCTCGGCAGAAGTGAATGCACGTTGATGGATGCACGCAGCAAACGCGAGAGTGCATGCACGTGGGTAGCCGTACCTAGGTGGATGTGCGCAGGACACACGTGAGCGACGCACAATTTTCTGTGGGCCCCACCAATTTATGCGCTCGTCAGTCTAAATCGTTCGGTCCTTTGACGAAGGGCACAGTGGGTCTGTCCAAGTTTCTAGAATACCTGTTCATATCGGTTCACAAGATGTCCTATTCTGCACTACCGGTCCAAGAAACTTCTACAAGAATCTAAAACGCTTGGACTACATGCCGGATTCCAATCTACCAGTCGAAGAAGCTTCTACGAAATTCCAAATCGGTTCGCCATTTCTCTAACTTCGACGCATTCACCTAATTTGATTAAAAAAAAACATCCAATCCCAATCTGCCGGTCCAAGAAGCTTCTTCCAAATTCCAAATCGGTTCGTCGCTGCTCTAACTTCGACACGTTCACCTAATTTGATAATAAAAAAAATCCAATACGGTATTGTTTTTGGCGAGAACCTGGTAGGGCCTGCCCATTTCGGTTCACGATATGTCCAAATAGCGGCAGTATGAATCTAACGTACCTGGTCAAAGGAGTATTATATAAATAATATAAATAAATAAATAAAAAAAGCCAGAGTGGCCTTCACACCCTTATTTGACTCATTCTGACTGACCCACGAGCGTTATTTCTCATTTACAAGTTCACCGAGAATGAGTTCAGTCAATCATCATATATGAATCATCCTCCTGCAGGCTATAAGAGAGAGGCCTGTGCTTTCCGTTGCACCCGTGGCACCACTCTGGCGATAGATCAGACGCAAAGCGTCAAAATTAGGAATAACCGCTGTCTGATTTCTAATTTTGGCATGGAAGGTATCTTTTAGCTCCTACCGTCGTTTTGCCCGAATAGAATGCACAGTCGTTTACGCTGCGTTGAATACAGATATAATCACTATGCAATGGCATGCATTCTATTCGGGGGAAATTGCAGTTATACCCAGCTTCCAGTCTGTGCAAATTACGGATATACCCAGGGCGAATTAGCGACATACTCGGGACCAGAGGGGACTGGCCAAATCATAGCTTGTACCCAAGTACACGAACACGGAAATCAATCAATCTTTTTAATTATTTTAGCTCCTACTGTCTTCGCTCAAATAGAATGCAAGCCGCATGGTCATTATTGGTGTATCTAGACTGAAAGCTGCCCCAAATTCAGGTACTGTAATTGCTGTATCTAGACTGAAAGCTGCCCCAAATTTAGGTACTGTAATAGCTGTATGTGGACTGAAACTGCCCCAAATTCAGGTCCTGTAATTGCTGAATCTAGACTGAAAGCTGTGCCAAATTCAGGCACTGTAGTTGCTGTATTTAGACTGAAAGCTGCCCCAAATTCAGGTGATGTAATGACAGTGCGTTCTATTTTGGGAAAGACGGTAGCTCTTTTCCTTGCTAGTCAAAGATCGCAATCATGAAGCCAGGTATGTAAGATTTGCGTCCTTCACGACATCCGTTAAAATTGGAATGATAGTTTATGATACACAGAAGATTCGCATGGCCCCTGGGCAAGGATGATGCACAGAAATCAAGAAATGGTCCCATTTTTTTAATTATAGAAATCACAAAAAAAAAAGAAGATATAAGATTTGCAAACATGTCCAAACAGCGTCCTTTGGGACATCCGTTACAATTGGAACGATACAGAGAACGAAGATTAGTATGGACGACGCTATGGCCCCTGCGGCAAGGATGCCACACATAAAGCGGAAAATCATAAACGTTCACATTCGGTGACCGAACCCGAACGTTCACAATCGAATGCGAATGAGCCGCAAAACCCCCCAAAAAAAAAACACAAACAAAGCCGGTAACCGGGCCTGGAGTCCCTCACAAAAGAGAAAGGTGAAAACTCTGGACAAGGCATCATCGGCCTAGGTCAGAGGGCCCACCTAGTATGTTGTAACCAGCAATCTGTGGCTGCAGTACAAGCAACCAGGCCAGCATCATATGCTGTTCTCCTATGCCCAATCTCCCCAAGGCGCAGTGCATCACCCCAGTGTTTTTGCCACTTCCGATTTCCATCTGCTAATACAAAGCTAATACAAACCTACAAAACTGCCACCACTGCCTCTAGTGAGGCACAGAGGCAGCATACCTATCCTCAAGTTATCGTCGAAGAGTAGCAAGCAAACAATTGTATAAGCAACAAAACAGTAAACTGTAACGAAATAGCAAGCCTAGCTTACAAAAGGTCCAACAGAAAATTAAACAAAAAAATTTAAAACAAAAAGCCTGAAAAAGGAAAACAAAGGAAAGAAAGAAAACCCAAAAGCGAATCATAAGGGTACAGTCAAAGAAAGAAAGATGAAAATGTCAATTCTGGCGGTTGTTGTTGCCGTTCCGGAACTCGAAGCAGGTCCGGAAATCCGTCCCAGTGTTGCAGAAACTTCCGCAGAGGTTTCGACGCATATCCCTTGCTCTGCACTTTCATGGACCATTCTGTGGCAACCATTTGTTTAATAGAGAATTTGACTTCTGCACGAATCATCGGCGGAGTCAGTCTTTCCCCCCTCCTAACTGCCGAGTTCCGCAATGTCCACAAGGTCGAAAGGATGGCTCCTCTCAGGCTTTCCTCAGGGTATGTCAGGGGGTGGTTTCCATTTTGTCTTCGAGCCACAGCACCAACTGCCGAGTTCCGCAATGTCCACAAGGTCGAAAGGATGGCTCCTCTCAGGCTTTCCTCACGGTATGTCGGGGGTGGTTCCCATTTTGTCTTCGAGCCACAGCACCAAGCAGTGCATACTCATCTCCCATCTGGTATTGTGATGAGGGATTGGCTTTGCTCCCGATCTCCATCAATCCCGCAGTTGCCTAGAGAGTTTGCGATGCAAGCACGTGTTGCAGATCCTCTATCCTCATCCCAGAACACAGGAGGCAAAGTGGACTGGCCTTGACTGTTCGTCTTGCATACCATTGCGCTGTGGGAACGGCCAGGTGGGCCATCAACCAAAGAAAACTTGCCTACTTAATTACAGGCAGATCCATAAACAATTTTCAGTAGCCCGAAAAACGTTGCGAAAGCCTAGGGAGAGAATCCTGAATCCACCCATAGACATCCATCTTTTAACCACTACCCAATTCGCATCCACCGTCTGGTGGGTGAGGCGATACCCAAGCTTCGTTGTGTGCTGCCGTGTATGAGAAAATCCAGCCCCAATCCCTGGGATCCAACGGCAGCTGATACGAAGGTACGGCCAGGGCAAATGGACGTACCTGGTCCGGATAATTCAAAACACAAACAGGTGTAAGATCCGACAAGTGCGGGAGCAGAAGAGACTGCTGAGCCTGCACCAACGGGGGGCCCAAAGAATGCAGTGCCTGCTCCGTTTCCCATGTCGATGCCACGGTGTGCGCAGTATGAATTTGTTCGATTTTCCACAGCATTCGAGGACAGTGGTCTTCACTTTTCTTATACCGGCATCCTTGATACGGGACCAGCCCATTGTTGAGCTGCTGAGTCCACTGTTCTGGTACCGCCCGCTGGAGCAGAGTCAGCTGATCTCTCTGATGCCACAACCCAGTCAAAATGTGCGCCAAGGCTTCAAATGGTTTCCAATCCTGTGCATGAACGTCCCAAATATCATGCATCAGACCTCTGGCCATCCAAGAGTCCCCAAACGCCCCCCTGCCAAAGCAGGGGAAGGGGACTCCCGCCGGAGTCAGAATCCGCGGGTTGTCAAACAAGGGCTGGGTCAAGATTTGGTCCGCTGCCATTGGAGGGGGCAACAGCACAGGATGGCAATTTCTCCATGCCCTCATTATCCCCGCCCATATTCCTTGCGGCAGATGCCTTCGCAAGTACGCCGGGTTTTGGGCTGCTATCCAGAGGCATCGCAGATCAGTCCAATCCCAGGCTGTAAACAATGTATACTCCGCAAACTGGCTCCATGGTCTCAAACGGTCCTTGGAAAATTGCCCAGGGGACCAATCTAGGTAGCACGGCTGCCATTTGACAGTTCGGGTCCAAAATTGCCAGTCCACCTGTTCTTTTAGGCTGGGTCACAACTTCCCAAGCAACCTTTGGCAAGATTGAAGCTGTCGAGTTATCCTCTTTCCACAAATAATGTGTGGCCAATTTCGTGATGAGTCTGATGGCACTATAAGCCGGGTCATCGAGTTGATAAAGTGCTCTTTGAAACCAGATCGCCGAGAACACTGCATTGTTCAAGACCAAGGATCGACTGAACAAACTAACCCCTTTTTGCGCCACCCATGGGGTGAGCGCCTTCTTGACTGCTTCGACTGCACACGATGCTTCAGTCTGCGACATAAAGGAAACTCGGTGACCCACCAACAATCGCTCATGCTGAGCCGGTGTGACGACTCTCAAGGCCCAGTTGTCCGGCGGCAAGGCCTGCGGCAGAATTAGCAAGGACGATTTCTCGCAGTTCACCCTTGCTTGTAAGACATGGAAGAAAAGGGAAGTCGTGTCTTTCAATGCTTGAAAAGCCTCATCTTGGAGTGGTGTAAATGCCACTGATTCATCTGCAAATGCCTCTGTTTTAAGAGAGTCCCCGGATGGCAGCAGGAACCCAGGCACCTGCGGATTTGCTATAATCATTGCGTCCATGACTTCCACATAAATGGGGTACAAATAGGGCGCCACAGGGCATCCCTGACGCACAGATCTACCCAACTGAATAGGATTAGACAATTTCCCATTGATCACCAATCTAGAGACGGCCCCTGTATGTAATGCACTCACCGCGTGTCTAAATCGCTCCCCAAATCCAAACGCTGTCATAGCTGCTTGAGGAAATTCACACCCTACTCTATCATATGCCTTTCCAAGATCAATGAGGAGTACCGTCGCCACCAGTGCTATAATTTGTTTGACAGTCATAAAGTTGAACAGAATTTGCCTGTCTTTCAAGAAACCAGTCTGTGATGAATGTATCAGCGCAGGCAATACTGGTTGCAATCGCTGAGCCAAAATCTTGGAAAAGAGTTTATACAAAACCGACATCAGAGTTATTGGTCTCCAGTTCCGCACGCCTGCCCGACACAATTCCTGTAACCATTTCCACAGGCGGAAGTGCCCCATCAAAAACGGACTGCAGCACCGTAGTTATAACCGGCAGCAAGCGCATTTGAAATTTCGTAAAGAACAGAAGAGAGAGGCCATCTTGTCCGGGCACTTTGTGGAGTGGTAAAGCAGCTAGTGGCAATCGGGCCTCCTCCATTTCTATCGGCTTCTCCCAACTTGTGTGCTGCAGAGGGGGACAAAGGCGCCCCAACTGCTGCCCAGACGCAAACTCATGCAGCAGCTGTTGTTCCATGTGCTGTGCCTGTGACGCCAACACGTGTTCATAGAATAAAGACACATTTTGCACAATCGTGGCCGTATCCGTTGCCACAGGCTGTCCAGCATCCCAGGGATGACGCATAGAGAGCATCAGGGAAGGAGGTGTCCTCCGCCTGCGGCCCCGAAAAAAGGCTGCATTCATCTTGTCTCCTCTGACCACCCACGACACTTTTTTCCAGTATGCTGCATCTCTGAGCGCTGGCAATGCTATAATTGTCACTCGCTGTCTGAGCTCATCTAACGCCCGCATCAACTCATGTTCATCCACCGGAGTTCGAGAGGGTTTAGTTATAATGTTGGCCATCTCCGTGCGCAAAGCTGTGAGCTCTGATCGCCTGAGTCGTGTCAACAACTTTTGGAGCATCTTACCTCTAGCCAACACGGTTCTAAGACCCCCAACCAACCAACTGGCCGTACTCTGAAACAGATATCTTGATGATGCCCATTCAGACCAATAGTCAGACATAAAATTTGCAAAGTCCGATGTGAGCACCACCCACTCCGGTAAAGAGATCCTATCATGGGAAACGCGCACAATGAGATTCTGGTAAAGTTCCAAAAAAACAGGAAGATGGTTTGACCCTACTTGCAACAGTACTGTACATGCACTCACTTGTGGTACCAAATCATCCGGCACAAAAAACAAGTCTATTCTACTTCTTGGAAGGTATTGCTGTTGTTGTCCTCCCGTCGCAAACCAAGTGTACGAACGATCATAGGGATGAAGCAATACGCATCAGTGTACCCATGGGTCTGTGCAAACACTGTCAAGAGGGCGGCATCGGAAGATTACAAAGTGACCGGAATGGAATCAACCCCTGGAAGCAGCACCGTGTTCCAGTCCCCTCCCAGAATGAGTTTGTCGACATCTGGAAGAAACCAAGGCAGGGTTTTAAAGAGATCAATTCTGACGGAATGATAGGCAGGGGCATATAAATTAAACACCGCCCACTGCTCCTCCATTCTGAAATCGCACCCACACCCAGTGTCCCATGTGATCCCAGTAGTAGTCTGTAACTTTAAAAGGAAAGGATCTAGCCAACAAAATGGCCACTCACCCATGAGTACCTTGCGCTGGAGCCCAATATTGGTGGCCAGACCACCAACCCATTTGTTCTGATACCGCTTCATCGTGTCTTAACTTGGTCTCTTGCAGGAGCACCACTTGAATTCCTTTATTCCTCACCAACGTCTTAATGAGAGATCGCTTAACCGCTACCCTACGGGAGCCCAATCCCCTAACATTCCATTACGCTATTCGCAGCTTATCCATCTACCTCTTACATCGACTTCTCCCACAGTGTACATTTCAGCTTCAGAAAGTTGCTAGAGAACAGGCTTTTGTGCCAGGCCAAATGGCCATCCACCCGATGAATAAGCGCCGCCGTCCAGCAATCGTATATCCTGATCTCGGTAACCATTTGCCCAGTGGGGTTCTCTAGTAGTGCAAGCAGCAACCACCTTATTTCTGGCAGGGGCGGTGTTGTTTTGCATCTGGATTGAGCACTGCATCTATGACAGGAAAGAAAAGGAGATCAGTCCTTCCTTGATCTGTTGTTGGAGTGAGGCGTATCCAGTACTATCCACTCAACCCCCGAAAAACAGCGTGTATTAAACGCCGGGGACAACCTTTTTTTTTACCTCCCTCAGAACAACTCGCGGTCTGGAACAGTCCCAGAAGTGCCATCCACCAAAGCCCCGGTCGCTGCTTCCTTCCCTTCCCCCAGGCGCCCTTCCGGTCCACCATCTCCACGAACAAGCGGTTTTACAACGGACGGTCCCGCCCCATCCTTCAGTCTGTCCTTTTTGGGACATGCTTCTTCTCCCTGTCTATGGCCATACCATCTACAAAGGGCACACCAAGGGGTGTTTTGAGTTACCACTTCCAACTTGTGCCATCCATCCGGCGTCCGAAATTTAAGAACTTTTTGACCCGATGTTTAGCACGCGGATGGAGGTCATATCTTCTGTTTAGAAGTCGCGGATCTGATTTTGATTGCTCAGGAGGGCAGGGTTGTTTTGGCCCCTACTGCCTATGCCTACCAGTCGGGCCGACCTGTAGGTGGACCCGTAGGCGGTCGGTAGACTGCCTAAATTTTTTTATTTTTTTATTTTTGATGACATGGTCGTGTGCGGCTTGAGGAGAGCAGCCCAAATCCGCAATAAAGTTTTGTGGAGGTGGTGGGGTTGGATTGGGGGGGGG